CTCACTCAGCTTCTTGTATGTTGTGCCTCTAAACCTGTCTCCTATGTGTACAAGAAGGTAATAAGTAACTGCCTGTTTATCTCGTGGGGTCACTGAAAGGACCTAATGATGTCGTGTTGATGAGAAGTCTTTGTCTACAACACAGCAGGTAAGTGCCAGAAGTGATTAAGGGTAGGATTTAGGGATAAGAGGGTAGAGACAAGGAAATTCAGGTCTAGGATTATACCCTCAAGTCACTGAATATCTGATCCTGCAAATTTATTTTGCACATACTCTATACTATGTAACTATGTAGGCTGAAGAACCATGTAGTTTGAGATGTTACTCAACTAGAACTGACTGAGGAGGCCGGGAGTGACACGGATACTACAGGGGAGAATCTCTGAGTTATTTGGCAGAGAGCTAATCCTTTGAGTCCCCTCCCCCATGATTCAGAACACAAGAACTTGAACCCAGAATAAAGAAGCATATGCAGTGACTTTTTTTCTTCCTAGTTATTTTATGGCACTATTTTAAATGAATAGACTATTTTTAGAGCAGTTTTAGGTTTGCAGAAAAATTGGGTAGAAAGTACAGAGCGTTCCCATACGCTCCCTTCCCACGCACACCCAGTTTCCCCCACTATCTACGTCTCATATTAGCGTGGTCCATTTGCTACGGTTGGTGAGCCCACACAGCATGTCACTACCACCCAGAGTTCACGGTTTCCGTTGGGGCTCACTCCTGGTGTGCACGCTGTGGGTTTTGACAACGTGTAAAGATAGGGATCCAACATTACAGTGTGAGGCAGCCCAGAGGTTTTAGGGCAGTTCTGCCTTTTCCAGAATGTTATATACTTAGAATCATACCGTATGTACACTTTTTAGACTAGTTTTCACTATGTGATATACATTTAAAGTTCTTCCCTATTTTCTTGTGGCTCGATAGTGCTTTTCTTTTTATAACTGAATAACATTCCATTGTCTAGAGGTACTATAGTTCTTCGGTCCCCAACCCCCAGGCTGTGGACTGGTATCAGTCTGTGGCCAGTTAGGGACTGGGCTACAGAGCTCCTTCTCCCTCCCCCAGCCCAGTCCGTCCATGGAAAAATTGTCTTCCATGAAACTTGGGTAGGGGGTGCACAGCAGGAGGTGAGCAGTGGGGCAGGTGAGCGAGGCTTCGTCTGTATTTATAGCCATTCCATTGAGCTCCGAACTGCCCCCCTGCCCACCGCCCCGTGGAAAAACTGTCTTCCATGAAACCAGTTGCTGGTGCCAAAAAGGTTGGGGACCACCATGAGCTGTTTATCCATTCACCTATTGAAGAATATCTTGCTTGATTCCAAGTTTGGGCAAATATGAATAAAGTCGCTATAGAAATCCATGTGCAGGTTTTTATGTAGACATGTCATATAAATTCAAATGACTTTTGAATACTATTATTTTTAACTTTTCTGCACTGTTTTGTTTTAGATGTCTTTTGTAAGCAGCATATAATTAGAATTTTTAAAGTCAGTTTGTAGAGAGATAAGTGATGAAGCAAATACAGCAAAATATTAATTGTAGAATCTAGAGTGTATGGGTATGTACTGTACAATCCTTTCAGCTTTTCTATATTTTTGAAATTTTTCATTATAAAATGTAGGGGGGAAAAGTTTAAAAACCAAACAAAAATAAAAACCCTTTGGAGTGTGTGTAAAATCAGAGTAGGTCACTTAGAGGGGAGTAATGACGAAGGCCCCGCACCTGGCCTTGGCTCTGCCTTCCAGCTGGGGGTAAGTCACTTAGCCTCTTTCATTCTTGTTTTCTCCTGGCAGGATGGTGATCACACCCAGCAGTGTCAGGGAGTTGCAAGCCCTCCAGGTAGTTCAATAACAGTTCATTTTCCTGCCTGGAGAAGAACCACAGGGAACGGGTTGTGCCTGTGGTCACCAGCAGAGGGTGCACTTAAAGCAGCAAGCATCCAAAGTTTTCAAGCCCGGCCTGCCTTTAGGAATATTTTTTATAACGATGCAAAATCCAGAGCTAAAGCAAGGCTATGATTCCAAGCATATAAACATATTGCTGATGGCCACAGTGGCCTCGTGGCGCTGTCTTCCTCCTTGCCTATGCCCATGGGCTCCACGTATGATCCCACCTCCAGCTCCCTGGCAAGGATCTACTTCTCTAGCTGCATGTCCCATCAGACAACGGGAGACCCTGACACAGTGCCTGGCCCAACACCCAAGACTTGAAGACCGCTGAATGTTCCCTGAATGAACTGACATTACTTCCCTCCTCCTTTATCTCTTTCCTCCTCAAAAGCAGGAGGATTAGTGATCTGTACTGGCTGTCAATCATCCCTCACTGGTGTGCTTCCCAAAGCCTGGCTCGCTCAGCCTGGGCACAAGTGGGATTATCTTGAGAGGCAATGGAACTGGGTGCCTCTCTGCATGCACTCCTGTTGTGGGTTGAATTGTGTCCCCCCAAAAGTTAAGGTGGAGTCCTAATCCCTTGTACCTCAGAACCTTATTTGGAAATAGGTCATTGTAGATGTAATTAGTTAACATGAGGTAATTAGGGTGGCCCTAATTCAATACGACCGATATCCTTATAAAAAGGAGAACTTTGGACACAGACATGCACAGATCAGGGTGATGAAGCTATAAGCCAAGGAAAACCAGAGATCCTCCGCAAACCACCAGGAGCTGGGGCGAGGCCTGGAGCAGATCCTCCCTCACAGCCTCAGAAGGAACCAACCCTGTTGCCACCTTGATCTCAGACTTCTGGCCTCCAGAACTGTGAGGAACTACAAACGTCTGTTGTTTAAGCCACTCAGTTTGTAGTATTTTGTTACAGCAGCACTGAAAAATGAATCCTCTCCCAACCCCTTTCCCTAAAGTGAGTGTTCTTGTCACTGTCACTATGGGAATAGGCAGTTCCTGCTCTGGGAACAAGGAGTGAAAGGCCAGCCGCAAGTCCCAAGGCCCCAGACTCTGCCTCGTCCTTCTAGGTGCAATCCAAGTGGTGAGGTCCCTCCCATTTTTCTAGCCATAAGATGAGGATAAACTCCTGCTCTACAGAAGCATGACGAATTAAGTTCAATGAGATCATCCGCACCAGAGGCCTAGTGAGAGCCTGGCACACAGTAGGTGCTAATAAATTCACCTTCCTGCTCTCCCCTCCATGACTTAACCTCACAATCCATATTTCAGCTGCAGCACCTGAGACAGCTCCCCCGCTTCTCCCCATCCCGCACTAGCCTGGGCAGCAGCGTTACTTCAGTAACTCTGAGTTTGAACCATGTCCCCAGTTGGATCACTTGTTCAAACACTTTGCCATCCTGGGAGCCCACATGGGCCAGGATCCAGAGGAGGTAGTAAAGTCTGTCTTCAAAGCCCGCCTCTCTTTGGCAGCCCCCACGTGACCTGAGCCCCCATGGCTGCTGAGCCCATCTTTCTGAAACATGCACACCTAGCCTGTCTCTGCCTGGCTGATAGCTCTCTCTGAGCTCCCCTTTGCCCCTGGCCTCCACGTCCAGCCCTGCCTGCTTCTCAAGCTTTGGCCAGAGGCCCCTGCCCCCCACCTGCCTCCCAGGCCCTCTACACATGGACCATAGCAGATCATGTTCCGGTCACTTCTCCTCTCTTTTATAATCCAGTGCCTTTTCTTATACCTGCCAGTGAGTCCAGCCCCAATTTATCCACCTGGGAAAACCCTACCATTTCTCAGGCTCCAGTTAAACATCAGCCAGTGAGCACAGGAAGAACCGGAGTTGCATTTAGACAGAGGGGGAAGGTGAGCTAAGCTGCTTGCATTGGTGTATCTGGCTCTATCTCAGCCGATGATAAAGTGCCAAGAGCTGCTGTCACTAGTCCTGGGTATATGGCCCCTCAAGAAACCCATGTGGAGAAGGAAGGAGTAACTGGGCAGGACCCAGTCATTCCTGGGCCTTAGAGCTAGAGACCCCCACTATTGCTGTACTTACTCCCCACTCTCACTGCAGAATGCTTCCCCTCCCCTTCCATCTGGAAAATTCCAAGTCATTCAAGGCTGTGGTAGACAGTTGTCCCCTAGTATGTATTCTTCCATTTTTTTATACATTATAGAATGATTACCTTGAATGGTCACATGGTGAGCCAGCTAAGTTTCCCAGCCTCCATTCAACTAGGTGTGGTCACATGACTAAATTCTGGCCTGTAGGGTATAAGCAGAGGTGAAATGTACAATTTCTATGCCATGTCCTTAGAGAGGAGAAGAAGCATGCCACTCACCACCCTCTTCTTTTTCCCCCTTCCTCCTGGCCAGAGTGTGGCATGATGGTGGGAGCTGGCATCTTGGACCACAGGATGGGAGCTGTGTGTGGGGAAGGGGAGGGCAGAGCAACAAGCTGGAGGGAGCCTGGGCCCTGCAGCGCTGCTCAGCAGAGTGATCGTATCAGCTTGGACTTTTATGAGAGCAAGAAATAAACCTCCACTTTATCGAAGCCACTGCTGTTTTGGGTCTCTGTTACCATGAGCCGTTCCAGTGAAGTGGCTGAGAGCCAGACTCCCTAGGTTCAACCCCAAGCTCTGCCACTTCTAGCAGTGTGATCTTGCCAAGTCACTTAATATGTCTATAGGTCAGGTTCTTCGACTAGGAAATGTGAGTGGTAAAAATACCTACCACCAGCTGTCATAAGGATCAAATTAGACAATTCTACATGAAGTGTTAGGAACGACATCTTGCACATAGGTAACATATGTAAGCAGGAGCTGTTACAGCAGTTGAACCTAGAGTTTAAGTAACACATAAGCCCACCTCAAATACCCTCTTTCTCTAGAATGTTCCTGAGCAAGCCCCATGCCTGCTCCTTCCCTGTACTCACAGCACCCAGAGCTGCACTTGAGACCTTTGCTGAGCTGAGCTGAACAGAAACTAATGTTCCTTACAGAAACACAAAGGAGAGCTGTGGCAAATGTTTTGTCCACAATAGACAATTAGAGTTGAAGGGTAGTACTTATGGACCAAGGAGTATACTTTTTTAAAAAATAAATGTGACTCTTTAAGGTTGCTGTACTTTATACACAAACAAGGGGAATGAGGATGTCTTTTTCATTATCGACTTCTTGTATTAAATTGTGTGAAATAATCTCCTGTGGGTTGATTTGTATAGACTTCATTCATACATTTTTTCCTGATAAAACAAAAGGAGAAAAAAAGATTAGTAAATATGTGTACTTTGAAAACACTCTACTTTTTTTTTTAAAAAAGCCCACAAACTTTTTATTAGTGTATTATCCCAAGATACAGAATACATATCAACTCTAATGAGCTCAAAAAAAGATCCACCTCAACTGCTTCTCAGCAGTGAGGGTCATTTGGCAATCACACGGCAGTTAGAATAGGGACTGGCACCAGTGAAACCTGGGGATATCGTAAAATTAAATCTCCATGGGTGTGACTGTAAAGATGCTTTGCTCATCCCATTTGATTAGCCAGATCATCTCTTAATGCTCCTTTTAAGCCTCCAGCAGAGGTGAGGACAACAGATGGTCCCACCAGTAACCAGACCTGACTGGAGAAGATACCCCTGGGTCCCTTCTGAGTTCAAGCCAAGAGCTTGAGAAATAGATGAGTAAATACTGTGGTTTTCAGTTGCAAGCTCACCTATTTATCCACATTTCTTGTAGCTGGAACTCTGAACTACTCTAGGGGTCCTGTCTGTAACCCAGAGACTCCAGGCTTATTCTGGGCAGCCCTAGAGCCCCTCCCTCTGGACAGCCCTCCCTGCAGTGGTTTCAGCCTTCGCCTTCCCGACTCCCCCAGCCAACTCCCCCAGTGACTCAGAGCCCTTCCCTGGGGCTTCCGGTGTTCTCCATGAGCACACTCCGCTTGCGCAGCAGTGACCTATGGGTCTGTCAACCCGCGTCTGAACCTATTTGAGGTCCCCGGTGCCCAGGTGAGGACCATGCCAGGAGGGGTGGTGTCCGTTTCCCAACCTTGACCCCACAGCCCCAGCTCCTCTGCCCAGCTGCCCACAAGACGCTCACTGCAAGCACTGCTCCCTGGCCAGGCTGAGGTTGCTGCTGTCCAGAGCCCTGCGCAGGTCTCGCTGCTGGCGCTGCTGCTGCCGCTCGAACAGCAGAGTGGCACGGGCCCCCTGGATCCGCCGCCGGTCCCAGTCCATGTCTCGCTGGTACTCTTCCTCCTGGAGCCTCTGGAGGGAGGAAAGGTGACTTGCCTTTCCCGAGCCAAAGAGCCCCGCCTCTCATTTTACAGATGGGGAAACTGAGGCTCAGAGACCAGGGTCACGCAGGAAGCCCTCATTCCATGTGGCCCAGCTGTTCCCCACCCTCAGGGCTGTGGGCCATCCATCCTCTTACTCCTGAAGAGACAGTGGGGGCCCAATCCCAACAGTGGCCCCAGCCCAAGGTGCCCATGTGCAGGCCTGAGCCCTGGGTCTTCCCTCCTTGGATCCTCAGGCGGGTTCCCTCGCTTGGTCAGCAGTCAGACACCAGCTCCACGGGCACTGCGTGCTGCTCCGCCTGGCTGAACCAGAACTTGTTGACACCACAGCCCCACCCAGTGACAATAAGGTCTCGATCCTGGGGGGAGGGGCAGTCTCGCCCCTGAATTTCTGCATTTCAGCTCATTCCTCACTGCCCTCCAAGTGGCTCTATGAAAACCATGGAGCCCTAGAAGAGGAAACTGGACTAGAGAGGGAGGGAGTCGTGCCGACCCCCCATGACTCCATATGGATTACTTTATCAGTATCCTTTCTCCCTAATGGGCAAAAAGCAGCAAGCTCGGTCAGTCAGGGCTGAAGGTAAGTCCCCTCCGCCCCCTTCCTGGGGTTTTGGGGCAGAGCCTGATCCCACCAGATGAGCAGGGATAGAGCATCCAGTGGCCCCACAGGCCTGGGGCAGCCACTACCCAGGACTGAAAGGCAGGCTGGTGCCCGGCTGTGCCACCTGTGAGGCAGGTCACCTGGCTCCTGTGAACCTCAGTGCCCCCACCTGTAAAGTGAGGCTGTTCGCAGGGCCTTGGGTCATCATAAAAGCTGCTTGGTGATGAATATGGAATGACACAGGACACACTCCCCCGGACTAAGAGGAAAGCAGACAGCCCAATACTCTGCATGACCTCAGTTTTCCCAACTACCTCCACGCACAGAAAGGAGGTGAGAAGAAAGGACACTGAAGGGCATGGCAGGGCAGTATTTTTGAGTGGGGAGATTTAATGCCTTGTTTTTCCCTTTGTGCTTTTTGTCTTCTTAATTTCCCACAAAGATTGAAAATTAGACAAAAATGCTGCTTTCAGGACGGATGGCTGACCTTTTGTGCCAGACAGCTCAGGCTGAACTCCAGGAGGGAAGGACAGAGTCAGCCCTGTCCCTGGATTCCAGCCTCAGCTCTTTCCACCTCGGGCTCCTTCTGAGCCCCACACCCCCTGGCTTCCCGGGCCCGAGCTCCCCTGCACTCCACTGGCAACGAGGGCTGTTTCCTCTCCCCCCCTCTGGCCAGGACGTGAGCAGGAGGGCATGCTGTGCCACCTGCTCCTCACGCCGCGGCCCAGGCCACTGCCAGTTTCCCTCCTCCCCCCGGTACGCGCCAGTGTGGAAGCTCACGCTGACTGTGGCACCCACTACTCCAGCCTGGAGGACACTGAACATTCTTTGCAGGTTTGAAAACCTCTCCAAATCTCTCCTGCCAGGATTTCCAGTGATTTTGGCACACAGGAGGCCCTCTCCTGTCCCTGGCTCCTCAGCTCTCCTGCCTCCTCTCCAAAGACGGGAGTCCCGATTCTTCATCTTCTCACCCCTGGGAACCCTACCAGCGGCTCTGGAACCTGAGAAGCCCCCTGGGGGCTTGTTAAACCACAGACTGCAGGCCCCACCCAGCCGAGGCTGCTGGTCTGGAGATCCCCCCTTTGGGACCATCCACCCTCACCTGTCATCACCAGTAATGCCAGCCCTCCCAAGTCTCACCCCAAGTGCCACCACTCTGACCTGCCTCTTCCGCTCCCTCTAGGACCCTGATTCCAATGATTATGCCACCCCTCTGACCACCCCTCTTCCTCCCTCTCTGTGCCCTCAGCCCAGCATCCATGGCAGGCTACCTCCCTGACTGACACCCTCGGCAACCTGAGCCTCTCACTTGGTCAGACGTGCCAGGCAATCCCTGACCTCGACGAATCCCACCTCTTCCCTTCCAGCTGAGCGTGGCCATGGAACACCCCTGATGGCGCCTACTGGGGTCACTTCAAAGTTATGACCATGAGCCCCAGCAAGCCCTTGCACTGCCCAGCCATCCTGCCCCCTTCCCCTGGGCTGTTCCCATTCCAGCTCTCCGAGATGACCATTTAGCACTTGGTTCTCCGTCCTAAATCTCCAAACCTGAGCCCCCTTAGCTGCGGACCTTGCTTCCTATTTCACCAGGAAACAGGGGCTCCGGAAGAGAAGCTCCACAAGCTCCCACCTGACGCCTCTTCCTGTGACTGTGCTCATGCCCCCTGCGCCCAACCTGTGGCCTCGGATGGTGGCTCTGAGCTCCTGTCCACACCAAGTCCTCAGTTAGGCTCCAGTCCCTTGCTCTCCTGCCACCCCAGGGACATGGCTCCAGCAAGTCTCTCCTCCAGCATCTATTTCCACTGAATGAGAAGTATGCTGTCACTTCTACAACCAAGCAGGAACAAGAGCTTTCCCTTGGCCCCACCTCCCCCAGCAGCTACCCCCCATTTCTCTGCACCCCGTACAGCAGACGCCTCGGAAGTGCCGTCTGCGTTTGCCATCTCCTCTTCTTTCCTTCCTGCTCTGTCGAGCCCGTCGGACAGGCTGTCAGCCCCATCCCTGAGAGCGCCCCCGCTGACCACCCTGGTGCTGGATCCAGTGTTCGGCCCACAGCCTGGCAGAGGTGTTTGACCCAGGGGTTTCTCCCTCTTATCTTCCCAAACACTTCCCCTCACTGGGCCTCTAGGACACCACAGCTTGTGTCTGCCCCCTGCTCCTTCTCAGCCCCTTTGCTCTTTATAAATGGGTGGGTGGGGCAGGACTCAGTCCTCAGATCTCTACACTCTGTCTATACTCACTCTCTGCATGATCTCACTCAGGCTCGCTGCTTTAAATCTTCTCTGTAGATGACGACCCCCACTTTATGCCTCCCTCCTAGAACTTGTTCTGACCCAGGTTATATCCAGCTGCCTACGGGGCTTACTTGGGGATTGTGGTGGAAAATACTACTTGTTCCTCAGTAGCCATTTTTCCTTCGTCCTTAACAAAACAATCACCAGCACTTCACTGCCTGGAATTAGCACCACATTTCCCAGCTGTCTTTACAGTTGCAGGTAACCATGTGACTAAGTGTTGTCCAGTGAAATGGAAGGAGAATTCTCCTTAGAGTGTTCTCCCCAGTCTTCCTTCCTGGTAGCTGGCCCATGCATGTGATGGCTGGCACTCAAGCAGCTGCTGTGCACTAAGAGGTGCGAGCCAGGTGCCAAGGACGGCAGGACATCAGTCAATGATCATAGAGCTGCCAGGCCAGCCCTAGACTTTTTTCTTAAGGATTTAGTCTACATGCAAGAGATGAAGTTCTATAATATTTTGTTTAAGATGCTGTTATTTGTGGTTTTCTATCATGTTCAGGCAAACTGAATCCTAACAGATATAGATATCTAATGGACACTGCACACTTAACATATCCAAAATTGTACTGTGCTTACATCCCCTACCAACCTGCCACCATCTGCCCCATCTCTGTGAATGCCAATCCCATCTTTATAACTGGTCATACCAAAAGGCCTGGAGTCATCCTTCCCTCTTTTGTTTCTTTCATATACCACACTCAACCCTTTAACCAATCCTGTCTGCTCTCCTTTCAAAATAGATCCAGAATCCGATCACTCCTCAGCACCCTGCTGCGAGCACTGTGGCCCAGCCAGCCGTCTCTTACCTCAACCACTGCAACAGGCCCCAGAGATCTCTCTCCCTCCCCGCTCAGCTCCCTAGAGTCTACCCTTGACACGGTGGGATCCTGTGAAATCTAAGTCAGATCTTATCATTTCTCTGTCCAAAGCCCTCCTGAGTTCCCATCTCAGTCACAGAAAAACCAAGGCCTTCCCCAGGGGCCTGCCAGGACCTGCCCCTGAACCTCCCTTGGCTCCTGCCCTCCTCTCCCTCTGCTCCAGCCCAGGCCCCTCACTCTCCTCTGAACAGGCACCCATGGCCCTGCCTCAAGGCCTTTGCCTTTGCAGTTCATCTGCTGGTCTGATTGCCCTTTCCCCAGACATCTGCATGGCTGGCTTTCTACCCCCTTCAGGACTTTGCTTCAAGGTCACCTCTCAGCTCCCGACCACCTTCCTCCTGCCCAGCACTCTCCACCCCCTTTACCCAGTCTTCCAGCCCTCCTTACTCAGCACCCCTCACCTGAGGCCACATCCTAGCACATGGGATTATTAATATCTGGCTCTTGTTGTCTGCCCACCCCCTCTCCCCCACTAGAATGAAAACTCCTTGAGGGCAGCTCCTAGGGCAGAGCGCAGCAGCCGCTGTAACTAGATCTGTGCCTGGAAGGCAGGGGCAGCACAGAGGCCCAGTCTCTGGGCTCTTAGGAGGGGCGGGACAGGCACCAGCTTCTCCTGGACTTGCTGTTTCTGAACCAGGCGGATCTGCTCCAGCTGCTCCTGGGTCATTCCCTTCCAGCGGTCGGGGACCACACGGTGGGGCCCAAAGGAGCTGGCTGCCTGCTGCGGGTTCTCGGAGAGCAGGTCCCCATGTAGGAGGCTGGAGATCTCAGCCAAGTTGTCCTCCTGTTCTTGCTTTTTCTCTTGCTTTTTCCTTTCCGCTGACTCCATGGCCTAAGCAGGGGAACACATTAAGGAAGATACTCTGAGTGACTCCAGGGGATTCTGGAGCAAATCTGCAGCAAATTTCACTGGGGCCCCTGGGGGAAGGATGTGCTAAAGGTAGCCGGAGTCTGAGGGTGGGGTTAGACTTGTCAGACATGGATATAGGAGTATTCTTGGACCCCTGGCTGCCTGAGCACTGCTGGGTGGGGGGCCAGGCTGAGGGGATCACCACTTGTTGGGTGTGTGCGTAAGAGCTCCGGGTCTTTGTCCCAACGTGCCCAAGCAGGGAGCTGCCTCCCTGGGCTAGCGGCTCTGGGTGTCTTGCTTTGTCCTTTTGGTCCTTGCCATCACTGGCAGTTTGCCCTCCTCATTCTTTTCCCTGCTATTGAAAAGCAACATTCTCTGGTCTCTGGTCCAGTCTCTCTAGGATTTTTGATTGCATACCCCCATTAGCAGAACATTTTCGAGCTTGTGTCTCCAATATATATAGTTCACAATGTGGTACTACTATACCATAAATAGAACATGTGCTTTACCAATTATACACAAACACTGGAATCAAAAGTGATGAGGCTAAAAATAAATATGTTGCAAAGTTCTAATGTTTTCTTCTGTGGATCATCTTGCATGGCCAGCCTTCTTTGGAGACTATAGTTCTAGGTGACAAGCTAATCTCATAAACAAATCCAGGCTAAGCCCCTGCCCACCCAGGAAATATAGTTGCATTTGAAAAGAAAACCTTGAGGAATGGGGTATAATTTTCAAAAGGAATCGAGAACTTAAAGCAACTTTAGCATCGGGTTGGAGGGGAGAAGAATGTGTCAGAGGAAGTAGGCCAGAGTTTACAGAGGTGGAGGCAGCTGTCAGGGGACACCAAAGTCTGAGCTAAGCAGCATCATCATCATCATCATCATCATGTCTACTCCCATTAATGGGTAGCTTTGTATCTCTTCTTGGCAAAGAGGAGTTCTGAGTGGTGGTAAAGAACTGCAACCAGAACCAGGCACCGGAGCAGTGCTGGGGGTATCAGTCTAGGTAGATGTTACTGTCCTCATGTTACAGAAGAAGAAATTGAGGTTTAGAAAGGTGAGGTGACCTCCCCAGCCTGCACGGCTCCTGGATTCAGAACTAAGGATGGGGATTGGGTCTCATCATCTTGTAACTGGGCAGCTCCTGTTGGGCTCTGTCAGGGTTGGCAGTGTGACCAAGTGAGCAGGCTGAGACTGGATCCCAGGGAGGCCAGGGAGCCCTAGGACACTGCTGTGTGCTCGTCCTCCCCTCCAGAAACTGAGCCGGGGGTACATATACCTGGTTCTTGTTGAACTCTTTCACAGCTGCACAAACTGCCTTTTTGGTGGCACTTTCCAGCTTCTGTAGGTGCCTGGCTGTTTCATCGAACTGCAGCCTTGTCTCTGCGTAGAGGTTCTCTGAAAGGAGGCAAGATGCAATCAGACCGACTTGCCCACCAGGAGCACCTTCCCAGGCGTGCAGAGCACCCTGTGGTGTGGTTGCTCTGCCTTCACCTCTCACCACGTCCTCAGCCAGGAGAGCAAGGGCAGGAATGATGACTATAGGACCTGCCTCCCAAGGCTACAGGGAGAGTTCGATAAGCGAATTCAAGTAAAGCTCCTAGATGGGTGCCTGGCACTCAATGAGTGCTAGCGATCAGTACTGTGGGTTGGTGGTGTCTGCTGTGGTCCCAGGATGGGCTGATGGTGCACTCCTTGCTATCCCTGTTCTGTCAGGAGGCAGCTACATCCTTATAGTGGGCAAGGAATGGGGAAGCCCAGAAAAAGGGGCTGTGGAAACCAGACAGATCTCCATGGAGGAAGGGATGCCAGGTAACAGATATTTGTCGTGTGGCAATAGGAATTTGCCAGGCCAATAGGGGAAGGGAGAGGAGGAGGAGTCATCACCGAAGTGGAAGGTCCAAACAGCAAAATGCAAAGATCTGCTGTCAAACAGAGCTGGTTCACATCCCAGCCCAGACATGTCCTAGCTCTGTTAACCTCAACTATTACTTAACCTCTCTGAGCCTCCATGTCCTTATGGAGGCAGGACAACACCTGCTTGGCAGGGTTGTTACATTTTTTAAAAAGGCATTGATCAGAAGTTTCTTCATTCCCAGGGAAAGAAGAGATATGAGGGAAAAAAATGAAAGGAAAAAAAAAAAAGGAAAAACAAAAAGGGGGAAAACGAAAAAAAGAAGTTTCTTTATTGGTATTTGTGCCCTGTGGGTCTCCTCATTACCTCCAAAAACAAAGACCAAACTCTTTAGCCTAGAATTTCTGGCCTCTGTGCGCCATCAGCCTCACCTCTCATCCTCCATTTGTTCATTCATTCACTCAACATACAGCCATCAGGAGCCTGACATAGGCCACCCACTTTGCTGGGAACATAGTACAAAATGGTGAATAAAACAGAAAGGGTTTTTTCTGCCTTCCTGGAACTTGCTGTCTAGGAGATAACAGGAAACACGTGAACCCCAAAATAAATGTGTTAATCCAAACTGTGATAGTGCCATAGAAGAAAGGATGGGAGACTAAGAGAGTAAATGCTGGGGACACCTGACTTAGGTAGTTGGCGGGGAAGAGCAGGGTGTTACTGGACTTACACTGACTTTGACATGTGTATTAGACACTAAGAGCAATTAGATGGATTTATGAGTCTGGATTCAGGGAAGAGGCCAGGCTGGACACATACACTTGGGAAATGATGGCCTGTAAGTGGTATTTAAAGCCTGAGACTAGATGAGATCACCAGGAATGAGTTTAACTGAGAGAGGAGAGGCCCAGAGAGCACTGGTACACAACATCTAGAAGTTCAGAAGATGGGAGAAACCAACAAAGGACTGGGCAGGAAGAGAACCAGCATGAGAGTGGTGTCCTGGAAGCCAAATCACATGAATATTTGGAGGAGGAGGTGATCAACTGTGTCTCATGCTGCTGATAGGTCCGGATGGAGATCAAAAACTGACCTTGGATTGGGCGCATTGGAGGGGACTGGAGAAGTTGGCCAGGGCAGTTCCAGTGGAGGGAGGAGGGCAGAAGTCTGGTAGGGGTGGTTCAGAGAGAATGGGAGATGATGATTTGGGGAGATGTCGCTCATGGAGAGTAGAGTGAGAGAAAAGGAGTCTGGAAGGAGAATGAGCTGATCAAGGAAACTGCAAACTAGCAAGCAGAGAGAAGGGGCTCAAGGGGGCAGAGTGCCCTGCTCCGTCCCAGCTCCCTGTTTTGTCTTCGTCGCAGCTCATCATCATCTCATCACTCGCTGATATGCCCCGAGAGCAGGGATGTTGTGGTCTTTATTGCTGTGTCTTCCTGGCACAGGAGGTGGCCAGGAGGCTCAAATGCTGCTGAGAGCATGTGCGGGAACAACGGCTTTAGTGAAAATAGGGTTGATTGGGTCTTCTGCAGTTCCCTCACAGAGAGAGGCCGTTTCATGCCTCACAGTCTTTGCCCAAGAGGTTCCCTGGGGAGTCCTGGTGAGGACGTGTGAGCACCACGCCTGCGACTATGCCCCCACAGTACCCTCTAGGAACTTCTACCACAGCACCCAGGAGAGTTGGGGGGTGCCTACATATTTCCCATTGATCTTCCCAGCAGACTGTGAACACACTGAGGGCAGGGACCCATTCGTAGTTACCTCTGTGCTCCAGCACCCAACTCGGGCCCTGACACAGACACATGCTCAGAAAGTGTTTCCTGCATGACTGACATGGGACTGGAGGTGTTTCCCTCTGGGGGTGCAGGCTCTGACTTCTTTCCCCATACGGCCAGAGCAGCATCTGGCTGGGCACATTAGTAGGACTTAAAAACAAACCCATAAAAATTAGAGGTTGGTTTGCTGAAGAGAGCATTGAGACCAATTTGTCTCTTTGTTTCATTACCTGCACGTTTTTGGACAGCACGGGCATTCCTCCATTCCCTTTGCTGTTGAAAGGACCACTCTCTGTTTTGCTCCTCTTGGAATTTCTTCCTCTCATAGAAGTTTAAATCTTCTCCCATGAATTTCTGCATTCCTGATACTGTATTCCGAATATCATTATCTGACTGCCGGGCTGGAATATCTTTCTTAAGGGCTA